GGCATATGGTAATGGAGACCAAGATCCTGTAAAAGACCAATAGAGTCCCTATAACCCCTATCGACTATCACTACATCGCCTTCTTGAAACCATGTCCTCATTCTATTTATATCATTCTGTAGCTCATGCTGCAGAATGGTGGCATCATTATTTCTAGCATCAGAAAAGTATGGACCATTAATTGCCAAGATGTAGCCATCAGGAGCGACCATAATTTCAGGCTTAACCAGGTGCTCATTTTTATGGAAGCAGTAGGATTGTCTCAATATCCGGAAATTACTACTTTTTTCTATTTTGTTATATGTACAGTCTATATACACAATTGCTTTTGGGATATTGGGAGAAGGGTTGTATAGCTGATTGGTGTATACAGACACGTGTCTATTAATATAATCGTCTCTTGTAATAGAGTCGAAACCAATATTATTAGTTACAAATCTTTGCATTAGAGATATCCTCACATTCGATATTATCAAGCTAGTTGTTTGTCTTGAAGAAAAATGAAACAAGATTTTCAAAAACTCATCTGAAACTCCATGTTTCATTTTGATTAGAAATGTCAGTAAATGTTTCTTTTTGATATGCCTTCTATTTCCCCCTTGCTCGATTGTATCACAAAATCCATAAAGTTCTTGAAAATCTTCTTTTGAAATCGACGTCAGAGCTTTGAACTCTTCTTCTGTAAAACTATCAATATCATCCCAGTTTCTAATACGTCTATTTTCATTGGCAACTGTTCTCATACACTGTAGAAATTGAAGCATATTTGATATCAAATAGGGTTTGTTGATAAAATTCAAACCTCCATGCAAATTATTCAAGAGAAATCCATGAGGGTCAAGATGATGACCACAAATTCTCAGAAAGTCCGGAACATAAATATTCGTTACAACAAAAATGTTCACCCTACATGCAAGAGTTATTCTCTGAACATGTTGACGAGCATTACAGATTATGCAGGCACGGCTCATTACTGGACTCAATACATTTAGGCGAAGACAGTTTGGGTTATTTTCCATCTCATTGATATCAATTATTACACTGTTATGACAATTGAAACAAACTCTGGTATCATCAAAAATGTCAATTGGAGGATTTCCAGCAGCTTGTCTTCTAAATGTTGCAATTTGCAGAAAATCAACATTATCTTCACGATTTATACGAATTGTGAGTCTAGGAATGAAATTCCCTTCGCATACATAACATCTTACCCTATTTGCAAATGCCATAATGCGCACTAAATTCACTAAACAATTACTGAAAACGACTTAAAAAACACTCAGAATAAAGATATACGCTGATATGATATTTTAAGATACTGACAACCCGAAAGTTGCTGGATGACAGACACATTTATTGATATCATGATTTTGTTTTCTAAGCCTACTGAAAAATATTCTATCTGGTTGCGATAATCCAAATTCGACTTCTACGAAGTAAAACATACTTATTAATTCGTGACAACCCAAGTTTCTAGACTAATTCGACCCCGCCGATTCCGAAAATATCAGTTGTCAACTTGAATTGGGACTAGAACTTACCCTAAAATATAATTTTATAGTTATTTGAGGATGTCTATCGATCTATTACGGTATGTATATCTTACGATATACATTACCTAATGCCACTATTTCTTCCAACAAATAGATGTTGTTGGAAAACGAGTTGGTTCATGTATTTTTTCAAAATCTATGATTGCAATTCTGAATTGATATTGAGTGGAAGAAAGAGGCTTCGAGATTGTTTCATTATTATTTTACTATATTTTTGATGTGTTGGATAAATGATGATTCCTCGGTACCTACTGATGTTCCTGTATTCCATTTTTCTTTCAAGTCTATACTGAACCCGGTAACGAATATCTACATAACCAAAACTCCAACTTTAGTGTCTTTCCGATGTGCATATACTAACTTCGATTCTAACAATATACAGTATGATCAAAAGATTGGAAGTTGGTTGGATAAAGGAGAGTTGCAAAATATATTAACGCGCACCTCTCACTAGGCGTTTGCGGAAGTTTAGTTTCATATTTTTTTCGAAAAGTATAGTCATAGGATTGAGTTGGGAAAAACCGCTGTCGACTTGGAACGCTCATGAGTTTTAGCACGTTTATATGAGTGGGATCGTTGATGAGTTGTGTCGTTGATGAGATTTTTTCGGGGGCATATTGTGATTTGTTTGATGTTTTCTGAAAAACATTTTCGAGATGTTTTGCTAGCGGACCTATAATAAGACCACTAGATTTTGTTTACGAACAAATCACATTTTTTGACATAGTTGACTAGTGACTACTAGTTTTGCGATTCGGAGCAATTTTTCGTGTTATTATGTAATTACTTTTCCATAATTATTTTCACATTATTCGATGTATAAAAAAAACTAGTCATAGCATGGGTCTGAAAATTCCCAATTTGATTGAAATATCCATACTGAGTATATTGGTGGAAAAAAATCTTACATCGACGGTAATAATTTCGAATTAGAGGGTGATGAAAAAAATAGTGGTTTTTGAATATTTTTTCGTGGTTGTCAATTTTTTCAATCGATGAATCACTCTGTATATCATGGAACTCATTGGGATACATCCTTCAAAAATATTTTGAATGTCTGGAATCAACCCGATAATACGAGGTGGCCCAATGAACTTTAGGATAGACCAATTATGCAATCAACAGCATTAATGAAACACCATGTATAATTATTATATTTTACGAATTCAATTGATGTAAGAAGAGCATACTTGGCTATAAATCTCATTTTGTAATTGTTATCAATTTGTAGCATTGATATTCAGATATTCAAAAAAACACATTATTTGAAATGAGAATCACCCTGTAATAAAAATCAGTTTTGGTCGAATACCTATATAGTTCTTGCGCCTAAGGGCATAACTATTACGTGCTCCCGAAAAATTGGAATTCATTTGTCCTATCTTAGAGATATAGGCCGAGAAAAATTAGGTATTCTTCAACTTCAACACCCTGTATCTCGTAAACTAGTCATAGGATTGAGTTGGGACTTGGCATATTCAATCAGTATGTCGAGTACTATCATTTACCAAAAATTGGGGAAATTCGACGGAACGCCATTTTTATATAGAAAAAGTGCGGGGTCCAAGTAAGGCCATATGGTTGTTTAAAACACTTGCAGGTTACTGACTTACAGTCACAGAACATGCCATGCCAAAAATTATGAAAATCGATCTCATCCTACTTTTTTTATGAACAAAATTATTTTTTTCCAAAAAAACTTCAACGCCTTGTACCAACTCAACGAGATGATTTTGGATATAGGTAAGTTGGCCTAAATCAACTTGTTATTATCCCAGGAGTCCACAGCCGAGCAATGTCCCAACCTTTTACAGACACCCTGTATATACACTGTTGATGGCTTTTGTTGTATTATAGTTCCGAAAAATGAGTCAATAATACCGTCTCCGAGAAAGATTTTATCTTCCATTTAACTTCGCGGTTATGTATATCACTAAACAACCACTAAATTCGCAATTTTTTGAAATCAAATCACAGAATTAAGACTGACAGAAGTGACATTAGATATTTGATTACTTCAAAAGAATGATGGAGATGCCTACAACGCAGGTGTCCCTACTGTTAAAAACTTGAAATTTCACGACAATTTTCAGATTTCAAAGAAAAAAAATAGTGTATTATACACGGGGAAAATATTAGATTTTTGCTCATGGTTTTTTGTCTCCCTCCGTTAGGCGTCAGGAGACAACACAACCTGGAGCTAAATTCTACTACTTTTTTCCCTTGTATAATAAATAACTATTCATTTTCAGCCTAGAAATAATAGTTAATTCAAATTAACTGCGAAATTTGGAGAGTTCAATATCTTTGGTAGGTAGAAAATTTGTGGTTTGATACCCTCTATAGAAATTCCATGGAAATTTGCATATGGGGGTGGGTATGAAACCATGAAGAATAATATTATGAAGTTAGTTTTCAGACAAAATATGCCTTTTATGATTTCATAAAGAATCGCCCACTTTTTATTTCAATAAAAATGCAGGGCTCTGCCCATAATGATGTTTATCCCTGAAAAACTGATTAGTCCAAATCTGATAAGAATCACATGACTAATAGATGAGATAGGTAAAGAGGGGGAGGCATTTGGGTGATGCTGTACCTACATAGAAGAAAAATCCAAAAAATTTACAAACATCAATATATGTTTGCCTAGGTATAGTTTCTATGTAGTGTGTATTGTCCCAGGTATTGAGTTTGAAAAAAAAAACACTCCAGTCTTTGCTGATGTGTCTAATTTACCATAAATATAAACTATATGATCAATCACACTACCTACTAAATTGTTTGATGGCAAAACTTGAATAAACCTACAGGGTGTATCTAAAAGGTCTATACAAAATCTTAGCACATATTTCTGAAGTCAATATAAGCTGATTTATTGCTCTGTTTTTGAGATACAGGGTGGTGAAGTGAAAAATTAAAATCGACAAGTGCACTACAAGAAATTATTTTAAAAAATCCATTTTTGCACTACTAATCCACTGAAAAAATTACAACCAAGAAGATAGAAGCAAACAGTTTTATTCCATATAATTTTAATATTCCAGTGCTGCATGGAACATTAAAATCCTTAAATATCCTGAAATTGGCTTACTTTAGGGGATAATAACAAGAGTATCTAAAATGTTCAGAAGATATTTCCTCAACAAATAAAGTGAAGAGCTACACTGAAAACAAAGTTGTGGCCTTTCTAAACCATAAGAAGTACATTGAAACCCACCCTGTAATGGCCACAGTGAAAAGGTGCCCCAATTCATGTTTTGCATCCCAAAAAACTTGGAAATATCAATTTTTGAAGAGATATGATATTGGTAAATTCTGAAAAATTTGATTTTCATCATGTAACTTCACCACCCTATATCTGGGAAATGGAGCAAATTTGAACTGAGGTAACTTAGTTGAAATCAGCTCATTTTGATCTCAGGAATATATGCTGAGATTTTGTACTCTAAATGCGAAACAGTTTCATTGTGAATTACCATGCTCTTCTAACCAATCAAAAAACTTATCCATGACTTGTTTCTCAGCATTACCAACTCTTTCATACTCATCTTGGAATGCTTTTTTCATTCTCTCTATTTTTATATTCAAGATATAAATTTTTTCATTATACTCAGAAATGCTAGCATTCAATCTTGATACTATTCCTACACTATCATCTTTGAATTGCCTGACCTGACTTAATAGATTTTCTTTTTCTCTGGATATTTTTTTTTGTTGTAAATCGAGTTGTGCCTGAGAATATGAAAGCCTTTCTATTATCTCTTCTAGTTGCTTCTTTCTCTGCAAAACAAACTGCCTTGTAGGAGAACATTTTGTATTCAACATGGTTTCTGTGGTCAACTGTAAATCATAGAGTTTGTCCTCCAATTCAATCACTTGCTCAATGTTTCCTATTATGAAATCAGAAACATCTGGGACCCATTTGTTACACATTTCATAATGTCTCAAAACATCATTATCTTGCATCAAAAAATCTGTCATGTGGACATCATCACTCCCAAGCATTTTAATTTCATTTTCCAAGTTATCTAGCATCTGCAGTAAATTTTTATGTTCTTCTTCAGTGATTGTTTGCTCCTTCAGCTCTTGCTCTTGCCGTTCTAATACTACCAAATCATATTCTACCTTTTGAAGCTCACATTTCAACATCTCTATCTGCTTTCTTTTATCTACCAGAATGCTCCTTTTTTGAAGATTTGTTTCTATGTTATCATCATGGGCTTCCTTGGCACTTTTGAGATCATTAGAAAGTTTCTGAACTGTCATAAACAGATCTGACTTTCTTGTTACAGTTTCATTGATATTCACTAGCAGATGTTCCAGTTGCTCTTTCAACCTGCTCCCATCCTCTTTCATTTTGAAAATATCATGTCCTAATCTTTCAACTTCATCATGAATATGATCATAGTACTGGACAATATGTATGCAAATTCTGAAAAATGTTTTGTTCCTCACTACTGTAGGTTCATAAATATCCCCAAGTAAGAAGGTCATCTCTGCTTTCTCAAATAAGTTTGACATCTTTGACATCATTTGAAAAACTCTTTCTTCAATATCTAAATCAGTACTGGATTCCATTATCCTTAGAGATGACCCCACTAAAAGATGCAATCTTTCCTGACAATGGGTGATGAACTCAGTGTAGAAACGTACTGCTAGATCTGAAGTGGGATGCAAAATATTGTCCCTCGTTATTTGGAATTGGGGCCATAAAATCTTGATGAGGTCAACCAGAGCATCTGCTTCTGTTTTTATTTTACTAAAAATTATTTGTCAATTGATGCAACTATTGGATGTGATTGAAATTGTTTACCTCATATTTCCCAATGTGAATAACAATATCAATTAGCGCAAAGAAGGGAAACTCTCATTAGTTTATTGTTTATTCACCTCCAAGTAGCACGACCGAGATTGCTTATATTTCGAATATTTAAAAAATTTTTGAAAGTTAACGAACTTCACATCATGTCATGACCTATGACCACTATAGAATTTATAGACGTCTGACGTTTGACGTTTGCCATTACATGGCCATTACCCTTACGTAGAGTTCCTAAATATACTTGACGTTTTTTAAATTGATGGAAAAAGCGCAAACTGACACTACACGGGGGTACATGACATAAATTTCAAAGGTTTGACAAATTGAGAGAATTAGGAGAAAGATGCAAGTTAATGCAGTTTCCAACTGTGAGAACACGGAAAATCAATTCACAATATCCGAATTTCCATCGGATAACGTAATTCAACAAAAATGGAAACAGAATATGATGCAGTCGGCATGGAATATAGGTTTAGACCACTAGATTTGCGAGGTATTTAAATTTCTTGGTAGGAAGTTGAAGAATAGGATCATATTGAGAGAAAGAACCAGAAAGAACCGAACCCACAATTTATAAACTGAACGTGTATCGAAAAGAACCTTATTCCAATTTAGACTCTGGTTATTGCTTGTGATGGAATGATGGAGCAGAGATCACAATAGCCACCATGGAGATAATCTGATGATGAAATAGCATAAACTTCCTGAATTGATTGACTCAAACTGATTTCACATCCCTGTTCAACCAAGAATTCTTTAGATCATCTTCGTGTACGAACTCTTATACTAATTTTGTGAAAAAATATAGTCACTATGTGAAACTCTGATGTACGAGATATTGATGTATCTATTTCAAAGAGTTGAATATATTGTTCGTGTATCACTTCTTCAAAGTTGAAATCCCAAGTCTGAATGTGCATGTTCATACGTAGTTGAGAAATGCTAGACGACTACATAGCTCCTAGTGGATAGGGTCCCTTGATGGAAATTGACATTAAAGTCATCTTAACAGGGTACGGACAGATCATAGCTGCATTCTTTTTTAATGATCTAGAGACTTTAGTTTTGTCTACTGGCATCCCTGACATTGCTGTCACGTCACATCCATGGGCGCTACAGAAAATCATTCGAAATTTTAATAATAGGTATGTACAGGGTATTTAATTGTTGAGGAAGATCATGTGGCGAACAAGTTTTGTGATGAAGATCCGATTCTATTCGTAATTGATATCTGGCGGTTTTCGGGGTAAGAGATAATGATTGTTCCGTCAAAATTGAAAAATCCAAGATAACAGATCCATTATTTTATATAATTACTACTTTATCACAAATAGAAAATATGTAGGATGCAAGAGTGAAAATAACGTGCCTATAAGTTATACTGCGTATATCTACTTGTTTGTTACTTTCATCAATACATTATTTGAAAATAACTTTTTATTTAAGGAAGACGGAAGAATCATATGTATAACATGGGGGTGAAGTATATTCTATTCTTTATTTCCCTGCACATTTAACGAATAACTTTTCATCACACTACTTTTCGTCCTAGACGAAGTTCTATACATAGTTGATATTAGTCACTCCATAAATTCTTCGAGTTGTACGTATTTCCGAAAATATATTTAGCACACATTACATGAGTACAGTCGTAGTTTATATATTCTCATCGAGGTTTTCACCATTTCTCAATCATAAGGCTCAGCTCATTCAGCTCATAGATAAACTACTGCTCAGTTTGAAATCAGAATTCATTCAGTCAATTCAGTCAACCCTTGTATACAGCTGATATACAGCCTAGGAACAGTCTCTTTTGGTGAAATATATTGAGCTTTCAGTAAAATTCATATGTTCCCTTAGCTACCTCTCAAAAATTATGCTGGAGTATAGTAAACTCTAAAGGGCTCCGTACATTATGCTATTTACCAGCAAATTCGATGCAATGCAATTTTGAATTGAACAATGCGCATGCGTCTATGATATTTCATGGCAAGTTTCATGCTAGTTTCGTAATAGAACCAGTCCTATTTTTCCTGCGATTTCAAGGCAAGTTATTTAGTAAAATTTTTAGTAATATTCATCGTAGCATCTTGATAAAATACTAATTTTCTCCATAACGTGGCCTGAAACACCAAATAACCTCAAAAAGTACATTGAAGGCTCAAAAAACCTGGAAATAGTGAATATATGAACAAGAAAATATGACAGAAATATCTCAATGTACGGCGACTTGCATAAATTTAGAAAAATTGCGAGAAAATTGCATTGCCTCAAACTTGCCGAGAAATAGCATAATGTACGGCGCCCTCATAACTAGAGGATTGTTCATCTATATTTTGGTATAGTTGAATCAGGAATTCCATATGGAAATTACGTATGATACGCAAGTGACCTCAATATAACCTAAAAAACAACAAATGCCAAAAATCTAGTGTTTATCCCCAGAAATGAATAAAGATGGAAGTATATAACTGTTTCACAAACACTTTAGAGTGAGAGGAGACGAGGATCTGTCCGTACCCTGTAGAGATGACAAATACGTCAGTTTACATCAAGGGACCCTACTAGTGGATTTTGAACCACTTCTTGGGTACCAAGATAAAAGCAAGATATTTTTATCAGAGCACAGAGCAAGAACGCTTAACAAGTGCACCATTTATGTTATATTGTATTGAAAATGATCTTCCGATGGCCGGGTTCAACCAACAATCCCCTTTAGCAATGTGAACAGCGATCTATAGTGAGTCGAGCGCTGAAGTCCATTTATACCTACTGACGTATGTCTTGGAGAACCTGTATTATTTATCCCATTGTCTCCAAAATAAGTGGTACTTTTTGAATCTATAAGGACGAAAAGTGAAGGATGGAAACAGCCATATTAATCATTCCAGAATTACGTCATTTGACAGGTTGCTGAGGGGCAAACATTGTATTTTGTCAAGATGTGTCATATAAAACCAGAATTAGTGAGATCGTTTTCCTTGTAATCCGAGTTGGAACCAGACAGAATTTTATAATTTTGTTTGGTGAAACTGGTATTATATTGTGGATGTGGTAGGGATGGCCAGGGCTATGCTCATCAAAGGTAACCTAACAGATAGTTTGTGTGCCCCTCAAGAAACCATGTCGAAATCACGTGTTCTAGAATGATCAATTGGTTTGACAAGTTCCGTATTATTTATTTCCTACGTCGGCATTGTCGGCATCAACACCTATTGGTCGATTTCGTTCCCTATAAAGACAGAAGTTGGTCCCGCTTTGAGAGCTATGCTTCATATATGACTAGTAGATATATGGTCAATACGTTCAGTATGAAGTCTGACCATCGATTTGACCAACCAGCTGTTTGGGAATATCAGTCACGTTTCAAACCTGCCCACAAAGTAACCACGTTAACTTTTGATGGGAGACGAGTCAACCATTAGCCATCCTGTCATCACCACTCTAGTCGAACGAATGAACAAAACATATTGCCTTTTAATGCTAAGCAATACGCCATCTGACGGAAAAAACTCGCATCAATATCATGTGACCAGCAAGTGTGAATTGTTTGTTTACACACTGCATTGTGCATTTGTGTGATGATAATAGTTGTTTAATAAGTGATTATTGATTTGATAAGAGTGAAAATGACCAGCAGAGCAAATTGTTGTGCACCTGGATGCAACTCTGTGTATAAAAAAACCCAATTTGACAATTCATCATTTCCCAAATAAGGATCAGAGAGTTGAGGATATTGGAGAATCTGGAATGGCGACTTTCGTTGATGGGAAGAAACTGTGGGAGATCTAATTGAAAATAGGAAGGAGAGTTACCAAAAACATGAGAGTTTGTTCCAAACATTTTGTTGAGGAAGATTTCATGACTCCTAGTGATTGTTCGTCATAGGTTATAGCGAATGCAATCAGCAATCAAGGATGTTTGACTGTATCAGCAATCACACTTGGCGTCAAAATTCTTAGTTTTTTGACAGAATGACAGCGCACGAGAATGAAGGTTTAAAGGTCAATACCATTTTTCCTCGAAGTTAACCACACAAACTGGGTCAACCTAGGTCTGACCTAGGGTCCCTTGATGGAAATTGACGTTAAAGTTACCTTACATTCAGTTCATTGAAGTCACTACCCTCGTCTCCTTTTACTCTAGAGTGTTTGTGAAACAGTTATATAGTTCCATTCTTATTCAATAGGTCGCGTGCACGATGATCGACCCTGGAGGCAAAATATTGAAACACAACCTCACTCTTCTGTGGATTATTGAAACACAACCTCACTTTTTCATTTGTTCACAGAGGAATCAAGAGGTTGAAATAGTTTTTCACAATATTTTGGCATACGAATCGTGTTTCTTGCGTTATTCAATGATTCAAGCATGCCTTCGCATTGTGCTGTTGTACAATGCACAAAAAATGCAGCAAGAGACTAGGGAATATGATTTTTCAGGTAAATAGTAATCTCACATAGTTATCATTATGAAATGTTGTCATTCCTTATTAAAATTCCTTCTTTGTTCCGCCACTTCTGCAATACAAGCTAATACTGCTAATAGATTGAAAATGTCTACAACACACACGATCGTCAGCATGTCAGACCAGTCCTCCCGATTGATTGCATTAATCCAATTTTCTTGCATTATTCTAGAAATTTCAAGTATATTTCTATTAGCTCTTATTGCAGAAGGAATTCCGATGAGAAATCAGAGAAATAACCAAATTTAAAAAATGAAAACTATACGTGAGTGACTATAGTAGGTACTTACTTTTAAATCATAATGTACCATCCGGATTCCTTCATCTACCGCTGCAGTTTTTGTGCATTTTACAACAGCACAATGTGATGGCATGAGCGAATTGATGAATAGCGGAAAAATACGATTCATATGCCAAAATAATTGTGGAAAATTATTTCAATCACTTGTAAACAAGTAAGAAAAGTGACGTTCTGTTTCAATGTTTTGCCACCAGCGTCGGTCATCTGACAGTTCTTGCACGCAACCCATTCTGGGGATAAACACAAGACTTTTGACATTTGTTGTTTTTTAGGTTATATTGAGGCCATTGGCGTATCATACGTAATTTCCATATGGAATTTCTGATTCAACTATACCAAGATATAGATGAACAATCCTCTAGTTTTAGAGTTTACTACTCCAGTATGATCATCG